ACGATAGCGGTTTGATAGAACAGACAGGCGGTTCGACAGGCTGTTCAATTGGACAGACAGGTGGTTCGACAGGCGGTTCGATTGACAGACAGGCGGTTCGACAGAACATCGGTATCGGTTCGACTGACGATTTGATGATGGTTTCATACTATGTGTCTTCGTGACATTGCCATGACATTGAGATGCGGCGAATGCTGACACGGTCATTTTTTATCTTGACTCGTATAAAATATCTAACTAATGATAGTCGCGAAAGAATATGATTTTTTTTATAGTTAAACTAATAGCGGTTTGATAGAACAGACAGGCGGTTCGACAGGCTGTTCGATTGAACAGACAGGCGGTTCGACAGAACCGGGGTATCGGTTCGACAGATCAGCTGTATCGGATCGACAGATCAGCTGTATCGGATCGATTGATGGTTCGATGGCGGTTCCGTAAAAGCGTTTTTTGTAGTTACGACTGTTTCAATTTCATTTATATTCTTTATAACCGCTATCATTTCGGAGCGTGTGTGTGATATAACGTATATATCAATATCATCCTCACGGCATTATCAAGTAGGAGAGATAATTATTTCTATGGCTTGCATTTTTACTCGCGGGTTCCCGTGGACCCTTGAGCCAGTCGACATTGAGTCGTTGCAACAATTAGTCGAGCAACAGTATTGTCGACAATATAAAGCATGGAGTGTATTAATTGTGGCCACTCCTTCGTGCCCAGCATGTGTGACGTGTGTTCGCGCCGATATTGGGTACATGTGGGGAGGCGACTGGCCGCCTCTGACCATGAGGACGAATTTTTGCGGGCCCTCGCAAGGGCTAGGACGCTTCTGAAGGAGGAGGGCCCGCGCGAGGCGATCAGGAGCCCGCCGGAGGACAGTAGCGTGAGGAGCTCGCAGGCGCCTGCGAGCCCACGGGAGGAGACACCGCTGCGCGTAATTGTGGACGTGTCCACCGGTAGAAGAACGGTGTGCTTCTACAACTAGGGTAAATTTTTTACATAGCTATCTTCCTTTCTGTTTCTCTTAGCAATTTTTTAAATAGCTTCCCTTTGTTTGTTGCAGATAGCAACAGATTCCTGTGGCGAATTTGCTAAATATTTTTTTTTAATCTTTAAATAAAAATTTTTTCATATTTTAATTATAATATCTATTTTCTCCTCCTCTTTTTCTTCGCGAACATGCGATAACGGGTGGGACGGAGAAATCGCGGGAGAGAACGCGAGCGATAACGGTTGGGTCCGCGAGCGATAAGCGTGGAGTGGGGCCCGTGCGCAACGGCGGCGGCGGCGGCGGCGAACGC